AACGTCAGGCAAATAAAACTCTTGTTCCAGTGATCGCATCTTCTTCTTCTGAGCCCAACTTCTGTCAAGGGCTGTAGGGTGGACAGTCCGATGGATAACTGACGCGTGAAAGTCAGGAACATTTGTAAGGAAAGGACTAGAAATTGGAAAAAATAACAATATAATTTCCTTTTTCCTGCTCCTTTTCGAAAAATTCAAATTGTATCCCCACAGGTGTGTTCTTGGGTGTCAAGTCAGATGGGGATTTCATATCACACAGAATTACGGCTAGCCTTACGCCCCAACACCATGAGCTAGTGCGACGACTACTGCAGAGCTTTGCATTTCACAAGACTAATAAGTATTCAGTAACATCCCCGATTGTTAAGTAAAGGAGGAACTGTGTGGTAGAGAACATGGATTCCTGTAGTGAAATCGTTTTCATAAGCTCCAAAGCTCAGTCTCCTATTCAAATAGCTGTCTGTTCCCTCTGTTTTTGTAAAGCTTCAGCAGGCCCAGTTATTTTCTCGTAAACGCCATCGTATTGAATAGTAATGCGGGAAGAAGCGGCGTTTTTTAAACCTAACATTTTTCTGAAAGGTCTTCCAGAAATTGATTTGACCATGCTACCAACACACATTCTGTAGCCCGAAGATCTTAAAGAGGCTTGGAATGGCTGGCGCGTTTTGAAGGAAAACTAAGGAATCTGAGATATTTCGGGAATGTGCAGGTACCGATTTTAGAGCCCTCGAGGTCCTTCGGGGCAATGGAACTATGTTACATTCTTTCCTCGAGCAAATCTCAACAAAGTTAGAAATCGATAGGTTATAGAAATATCGCCTGACAAAGGTTGCAATCTTCCCCTAAGTGCTTGTAAGAAAGGCTCCCTAACAGAACCTTGTTATGATATACAGTGGAGTCTCGGGGGACGAGCAGCTCCATCCACGAGCATTCCAGGTAAAGAGCGAGCCACTCGCGGAAAATTTGTTTCGATTAACGAACTCCGCCCGGTTAAAGAATTTTCGGCGCGTGTGTGCGCCTGGGTCCACCGATATGTCGTGCTCCCAGAGCGTGGGTCCTCGGTCGCTTGCAGCCACTCAGTGAACTAATGCAGTTTGATTGACTAAGTTACGCAAGATGAGCATTTCTCATGAAAAGCTCGTTGTTGGAACAGATTAAACTCGGTAAAGGAAGTTTCACTGTATACTCTACTGTCCGTAAAAATTCCAAAAGATGGAAAAGATGTAGCACGTAAATATTAATTCCGAGTCAGATTATGTAAAATACGACCGGGGACAAAATTAAATGACGGCCACTCTGTGCAACCCAGCAGTCAACTCTTACGCGAGCCTGTTCTGTTGCAAGTCCGCTGATGATTTTATCGATGAAACACAGTGTTCCAAGATTTGCGAAAACCTAATTTGGGTTTCGGTATGCCTGTATACGGGTTATCACCGCGTCCCTTCTGTCACCCAAACGGGTTGCGCCGATGTGGGGTCAGAACAAAACGTAGCTGCATTGGTCCATGGCTAGCAATACAGTTCAATTGCTCCAAGTCTCTAAGTACTGAAGTACAAACGTGTGACACATTTACAGGGATGCCTACGCCACGCGCGTCATTAGTTAAATCTCCTCATTGGTTTTACAGTCCCCTTCCGGACGGCTTGGCTCAAAAGGACTGGCGGCGCGGGAGAGAGGAAAGATAGCGGGCGAGGTCTATCCAGTCCTAGTTCAGCGCTTTGTTACCTCACTATAAACAATCCCACACGCTTCTAAATTATCACAACATATTAACAATCGCGACTAGCAAGGTTGTCATGGTTTCCCAATGTAGATAGTGCACAACTCTCCACTGAAACCTTGTCCGTGCGGTGTATAGAAGCTGGTTCACAGGTAGCACATGCGAGATGAGCCAGTTGCTCTTTTAGCCGCTGTGCCTAGACTCATCTCTAGCTGTCTTGAGCTGGACGTGGGAAGAGTGTGAAGTGAGACAGATGCAATACAAGCCTGTTTAATCATGACCAAACCCACGCATGAAAAACACCATCGCTCCCTATCCGGGCCAGCGGCAGAACTAAGCAGTGCGGTGAACGACTTATCAACGGTTCACCCCACAAATCCAGTAGCGCACGCGGACAGTTGCATTAAGCCCGAGATTAACGTGCGCAAAAAAATCATCACGCGTGCGGGCTTT